ACAATCAGCTTTCCGTCAATATCTATAACCCTATAGATATGACCGTTAGTTTGATTTTTTTTCCTAATTCAAATTTTCATAAGAAGAATCTTGCGGATTGCGTGGATTGTTTGAATGTGGTTGTTATCTTTGTTTGATTATTTTTTTTTAAATAAAGAAAATCCAAAAATATGTTAGTTAGGATTTAAATTAGAAGTTTTGCATGTTTAGGGAACCCTAAATGTATCTAGAAGATAGGATAATTATTTAATTTAAATTAGGACTTGAGATAATTTATTTCCTAATTTAAATTAGGTGTTATTCTAATCCTAATAGATTATTTAGGTTATTTTAAGATTCCGAATTTCCATGAAAATCCCAAAAGAATGAGTTACTTTAGAATAGATTGGGATAGATTGCATTCTTAATTTGAGTAACTTTTAATTTCGAATTTTAATAAAAAAAATATCAAAAGAAGAAGTTGTTAGATTGCGTTTTATTTTAGACATTTTTTTTAATTTCGAATTTCATTGGAAAAATACCAAAAATAAATCATTTGTTTGTCATTAGAATTAGGTCACGTCGTCGCATGACATATAGTTCGCATGCTAGGTTGCATTAATCGCATGTCATTTTTTGCACGTCATTGCATATAGGTTAGTTTGCATTTTAATAAAGCGCAAACCCTAAAAAACATCTTGAGTGCCTTGCTTTGTTAATTAGAAATCATATTAGGATTGTCTGTGTGATTTTCTACTAACAATGCAGATGCTTGCGTTGCTCTAAGGTACGTCATTCTCCTAATCTTGTAATTTATTTATTGCTTTCTTGGGTGTTAAATTAGTGGTTTGCGCACCCGCATGAACACCTCACATGTTAGTGATTAGGTAATAAAATGGATTCAGATTGCCTGCATAGACATTTTTTGAAAAGAAAAGGTACCGAAAGGGCATTAGACTAGATCTAGCGTAATCAAATCCCCGAGCTTAGAATCTCTAGTTCGTAGGAATAAAACATATCTCCCTATATTTTATTTAGGTTTCTAATCGACCTACCACAAATAGATTAGTGGCGACTCCAAGCAAGAAAAACTTTTGCATATCAAAAAAAAACTTAAACCCTAAGTTGCGAATTGGTAGGGCTTGGGAGGGCCCGAGCTAAGCTTGGACTTAATAATCCATTAGTCTGAGAAATTTTGGTCGTTACACTATGATTTTGAACCCTCTTGGGGTCTACTTTCAAGTTATCAATGAAATTAAGGCACTTTTCCAACCAAAAAAAAAAAAGTTCGGTATTGAAGACGTTCTTTGTACAAAATCATAACAAACAAAGAGCCTGAAGATTTTCATGCTTTCGGGGTACATATACACACTTTTTGCTTTCTGACTGGCATCCCCCAAAATTTGGAAGGACAAAAGGTGCCGTCTTTTGTATGTCCCTGTAACGTCTTACAATTCTAGAGTAAGAGACGATCCTCAATACGAACGCCATGATCTTCTCATATTCATATATGATCAATATAAAAAAATTTGTAATTACAGATATATCAGCGAGGCTGTACATCTGAAATAGTCATTTCGTTGGCCGAATATTTTTTGTGCTTGCCACCGCTTGAAGAACTTGCTTCAGATACAGACTCCTCGCTGAAAAAACCGGGCTGTTTAGGATGAGGCAATGTGCTCTCACTGCCCAACATCATAACCACGGATGACATCTCCAGTCTGTCTCTCGAATTTTGTTGAACGCGCAGCAAAGACACATGGATCGATCGCAAAACTTCCACGGGGATTGAATGTGGATGTGATCGATGGATCAACCAGCTCCATAGACTTTCGATCTCCGAACAGTGTCCGGGCCTGCATGATCAATTGATTATGTCGGTCAACTAGAGTAAGACTAAAAACTAACCTGAAGATAAATAAACAAAGAGATCTGATAAATTTTCCGACTTACATATCCAAGAAGGCTCAAATGGCTGTCAGGATGAGTGAAGCCCCGATTTCATTTCCCGCTCACGATTTCCAGCACTAAAACGCCAAAACTGAATACATCTGATTTTATCAAATATAGGCCGTGGACCGCATACTCTGGTGACAAGTAACCGCTATGCAAAAAAGCCATTGAAAGGAATGATTAGTTTTTGAAGCAAATGGACCAGATCCAGTGAAGATCACTTGTTAAGAGAACTCACTATGTTCGCACCACTCTCTTCGTATTCGCTTCGCTCTCATTACCTCTGAAACTCCTCACCAAACCAAAGTCTGATATCTTTGGATTCATTTCGTTGTCAAGCAGAATGTTTTCGGCTTTCAGGTCTCGATGAATTATTCTTAATCTTGAGTCTCGGTGAAGGTATAGGAGCCCCGAAGCTATGCCGTTGATGATAGTGAAGCGCTTAGGCCAATCCAGTGAAACACCCTTCTCTTGGTCTGCCAAATTATTGGCCTTATAAGTTATCAATGGAAGCTTCTTCAGTCCTTTTCTATAACAAAAGCAATGAAAATGTAGAGACTTGAGCGAAGCAAACCGAAAATGAAACAATCCAAGCTCCGGTTGGGCAAGAATTCATAGATCAACATCTTTTCATCTACTTGAATGCAGCATCCAAGAATCTTGACGAGGTTTCGATGTTGAAGTTTGACGATGTAGACGACTTCATTCTTGAACTTGACGTGTCCCTGCCTTGAGTTTTCCGACAGCCTCTTCACAGCAATTTCTTGGTCACTCTTCAGAACACCCTAAAAGATGAGGTTTTTTGTTCCTTTTTTCCATTGTGCATTTGTATATGTATGAGCAGATTTAGAATTCCGAAAAATGAGAATAGTAACCTTATAGACAGCTCCAAAGCTTCCCTCTCCGAGTTTGTTATCGTCAGAGAAGTTATTCATTGCGCTCACTATGGTTGCAAGGTCGAACAGAGGTAATTCTAGATCTTCACTATGGCTTTGATGGGAGAATCCAAAGATTTGTCCTGCAACTAGAAATTAAAGTGAGTGAATTCATCAAATAAAGAGAACTCATAATTGAGCTTTAAAAATCCCAAAACAGAACTCAAAGCAACACACATTTGGTTCATTCATATTTTTCAGGCGACTTGGTTCATTAATATTTCCAAAGGGAAATGAACTGAGGAAACTTTGCATTTGATGCAGAGCAGCAACATTTAAAACCTATGCTAGCAAGAGTAAAAATTGACTCTTGTGGATCAAGAAAAACATCTTGCTTGGAAACGATATTATCTGATGACGACTTTAACATCTCTCCCATACCCTGTAAAAACAGCTGCAAGGCCGAGAAGAAGCACCGCAGACAGCACAGTGCTGACAATGAAGCCATGCTTTTCCTCGCGCCATCATTTTTGCTCAAGCTGCCACCTTGATACACATTACAATAAATTGAAGACAGAAGTTACTAACAATCCGACTGTCATTTCGAACTCATTCTCTTCCTCGTGTCATCACATCAAAAATAACTTAGGGTTTGAACACGTACCAACTTCTGATGTGCCCATCCTTACGTAAATGTCCTGGCCATTCTGGTTGAACTGTCTAATATCCATCAGGTCATCGAACCAAAGCAAGCATCCACTTCCTTGCGCTCGAATATCCAAGTTTGAATAAGGAGTGTTAATTTGAAATTAATTGAACTCAATCAATGGGCAAAAATATCTTATTTTTTTAATAGTATAAGATATCCGAACTTTTGGATTCGCCTAATTTCATAAGCACAGGCAAGCAAAGCGTCATGTCCACCTGCTTCGCGAGGGTGACATTTCATCCATGAGGCGGCGGCAGGGATCACCTTAAGATTATTTTACGTGAACAGGGTCGGGATTAAACATAAGTGGCTATCTCAATATAAAGTCTAACTTGATCCAGAGCAATAAAAACAATAATGAGGACTCATCTTAGAATGACGCACGATTACCAAAATTAATCATAGGATTATAACATCCTAATATTTTTGTGTTCCATTTTCCACCATTAACATGTGGTCTCCTACGACTTAATCTGCGTTAATTTCTGGTCAAGCAACTTGCTTCTTGTTGCAAGAAGAAGAAGATAGGAAGTAGCAAGTCAGTAGTCGCTTGAACAGTTTCAAAACTATTTATGTCATTATCCAACTAAGACACCTAAATGGACCAAAATAAAATAATTTATCGTTCTATACCTAAGAATAACTTAATTTAAACCTTCTAGGTCTTACTATTCTCAGTTCTTACCTGAAAATTCAATAATTTAGTATAAAAGGGGTATGATTCGAGTTGCTAAAGCTATTACCAAATGGTCTTATAAGCTGATAAATAAATGAACTACTCCGATTGACTATAGTGTCGTTGAAGGAGAGAAGAGTTCAACAGATTCCACTCTTTGAAAAATCTACAAGATACCCAAAGATATGCTCACGAACCTTGAAAATAATTAAGACATAATATAAGTTGGATTGTTATAATGTCACACAGCAAGTGGAACCCGAACCCCAACGTCCACTGAACAGATTTTGAAAATTTCAACTAATTGATTAAAGAACGAATATTTAATTATGGTCAATGTGTTCATAATTTTTATAAATATGAACTCCGCGCTCCTTCGTTCACATGGCCTTTGTCAAAGAAGACAAAAGGCAAGAAGTGAACATACGTAATGCAAGGTGGGCCGTTGTCCTCTTTCCTCCAATCACACGGCATGCATGCACATGTAATCAAGGAGCTGAAAATGAACGAACATGAACTTCCTTTCCTCTTTCTTTGATTGGGCACTTTTCAAAGAATAGAATTTGCCCGAAGACAAATCAAGCAACTTCCGCGCTCCTTCGTTCACATGGCCTTTGTCAAAGAAGACAAAAGGCAAGAAGTGAACATACGTAATGCAAGGTGGGCCGTTGCCCTCTTTCCTCCAATCACACGGCATGCATGCACATGACCATGTGCATGCATTAATCAAGGAGCTGAAAATGGACGAACAAGAACTTCCTTTCCTCTTTCTTTGATTGGGCACTTTTCAAAGAATAGAATTTGCCCGAAGACAAATCAAGCAACTTCCGCGCTCCTTCGTTCACATGGCCTTTGTCAAAGAAGACAAAAGGCAAGAAGTGAGCATACGTAATGCAAGGTGGGCGTTGTCCTCTTTCTTCCAATCACACGGCATGCATGCACATGACCATGTGCATGCATTAATCAAGGAGCCGAAAATGGACGAACATGAACTTCCTTTCCTCTTTCTTTGATTGGGTATTGGAAAGGCAGCTGTGATCTGCATTTATTTAGGCCGTTTACTTAGGAAGTTTTGTGTGTGCATATCTTTTCAACTCCTTGATTACGTGTGCATGCATGCCGTGTGATTGGAGGAAATAGGACAATGGCCCACCTTGCATTACGTATGTTCACTTCTTGCCTTTTGTCTTCTTTGACAAAGGCCATGTGAACGAAGGAGCGCGGAAGTTGCTTGATTTGTCTTCGGGCAAATTCTATTCTTTGAAAAGTGCCCAATCAAAGAAAGAGGAAAGGAAGTTCATGTTCGTCCATTTTCAGCTCCTTGATTACATGTGCATGCATGCCGTGTGATTGGAGGAAAGAGGACAACGGCCCACCTTGCATTACGTATGTTCACTTCTTGCCTTTTGTCTTCTTTGACAAAGGCCATGTGAACGAAGGAGCGCGGAAATTGCTTGATTTGTCTTCGGGCAAATTCTATTCTTTGAAAAGTACCCAATCAAAAAAAGAGGAAAGGAAGTTCATGTTCGTCCATTTTCAGCTCCTTGATTACATGTGCATGCATGCCGTGTGATTGGAGGAAAGAGGACAACGGCCCACCTTGCATTACGTATGTTCACTTCTTGCCTTTTGTCTTCTTTGACAATACAGCTTGACCCCTTGTCCCTTGCCTAGCTGCTCTTCGACGACTTCACTTCTTTCCACGTCCTCATTGTTTGTGTGGATCAATTCCTCCATTTCATGATTCACTTCATTTTCTCTATCTACACTTTTGGCGACGACTTCACTTCTTTCCACGTCCTCATTGTTTGTGTGGATCAATTCCTCCCTCAAGTCACTTTTTAAATCATCAACTTCATCACCCCACTCCATAACTCTATTTTTAATGAGTTCATCACTTATTGTTTTCTCATCAGCATATGGAAATTCTGTTTCAGCAAACACTACATCTCTTGATACAAAGTATTCATCAGCTTCTAAATCATACAATCTCCACCCTTTCTTTCCCAACGGATTGTCACACCCCGAACCCCGCGGGCGCACGACACCCCGCTATGGTCGTTGAGATGCGACGTCCCAGGACTCGTCGCCGACCCTTCATTTTATCTTTTAATTACGCATGCGAAAACGATCACAACAATCCCCGGACAACAACAATAAACAGGGATAGCTAGGAAAATAAAACACAATAGTCAAATAACACTATTTTGATTTTCACTTGATTAATCCCTGGGAACATTCTTACAAGCCCACTTCGAGCGCTACCACAAAAAGCTAGCAAAAAGAGTAAAGGCTAGGGTTAATCTACTCAACCAACAAGTCGATCCCAAAAAGCCAACTACCAGACGCCCTGAACCAAACTGGGTGCAACAACATGCTAGGGGCCTGAAAAGTGGTTAACAACAACAAATGAGACGAAAGTCTCAATAAGTTAATGGCCCAAGCCCTGCTTAGGAGGCCAACTCGCACGGGGGTCCCTAACCAGGCAATACAGCATCAACAGCACATCATTAAACAACCACAGGCATCCTTACCTCGCCTTGGGACACTCGTTGATGAAATGCACATGTCACAAACTCGAAGCATTTAAAGAGATTTTTTCATGCATTAATGCATCACAGTCACGTGTGTCTCGATTATAAGGTAAAACCTACTTAGACACGTCCCATACCATGCCTAGCAGTTTCTACCCCATAATCAAGCACTATGCATCACACGTATCCAGTTATTACGCCCCCTCGGGGCCACTACACATCAAGCGATCTGCAGCAAGATGGCAGTCTACCGGTATAACCGGGCTCCGTCCCGCCCCGTCGGGCACGGCTACGTCAAATGATACACAGGATGACGGCATTCCAATACGGCAACATCAAACGATACACAGTAACATGGTATCCCGCAAGGAGCATCAAGTCCGGCCTCGGGCCGCGACAAGGCATCCGGGGTATCGGCACTGCAGATAATCCCCAGGCATCCGATAAATCGGGCAACGTCAAGCGATACACAGCGAGACGGCTTCGACGTGTGACCACACGAGCACAAAAGCATTCCGGCCAATTATTATCTTCTCAATTAGCCCATGCGTCCATGAATAGTACTCACACGATGCCGCATAACAAACCAAGTGGTCACACATGCAAACAGTCAATCAATCTAGCAAGCTTCGATGCCAAACACGTTTATCAACCACAAAGCACCACTATCATTCTTGGCATATCCATAAAAATAATTTAATTCCAAAAATCCCATAAATTTTCGTTGAAAACTTCCATTCAAAACAATTAGTCATCTAATCAATTTAATACAACATTTCACGACATAATCGTCACCATACAAGCTGGAAATCATAATTTGAGATTCAAGATTTTTCCGAAATAATAATAAACAACTTCGGAAATTAATTATTTAATAATATCCGAAAATAATTTATTTTCTAAAATTCGAAATATTTTCTCGTATCAAAATCATTCAAATCATTTGCTAAAAATGCCAATTTATACGATAAAATCCAACATTGGCATCACAATTCGGTATTGAAAATCATTCAAAATTCTACTATTTAATTTTCGAAAATTAATTATTTAATAATAAAATATTAATATTTAAATCCGAAAATAATAAAATAATAATTAATTTCGAAAATAATAATTTAATAAAATAATCGATAACTTATCACCACACGACGATAGCTTATCACGCAATAATCATAGCTTATTGAATAAATAACAATAACCTATCACCTAATTCGAATTAACTAAACATAATCTTAATTAAGCTTAATCTAAACTACCCTAAGCTAGTTTAACACCCTAAACACGGGATTAGGGATTAACTTACTTGGCTAACAACGGCGACGACGCGAGGACGACAGTGGCGACGAGGGCGGTCCGCGGTGTCCTCAGAATACTCCGGCTAGCGGCGAACGGGCGCGGCGAAGAAACGGCCGCCGTGGGGCTGCTCCGGCGCGGCCTGGGCTGTTCCCGGCGGCTGGGACAGTGGCGGCGACTGGCTCGGCCAAGGCAGCTGTAGCGAGCGACAAAGGTGGACGACGCGCGGCGGCGGGGCCAGTAGGACGGCTGACTGGGTGGCTGGCCAACGCCGGGCAGTGATAGGAGCGGCGGTGAGCCTGCTACGCGCGCGGACAGGGGAAAGGAGGAGTGGTGACGACGGCGGCGCGGCTCGGTCGGGGCGACGGTGGCTGGGCTGGTCGCCGGCGAGGCGCGGTCGGCGTCGGTCGGACAGCAAGGGGAAGCAGAAGCCAGAAGCTGCGGCGTCGGGGGAGGAGAAGGGGGGAGAAGGAAGAAAGAAAAGGGAAGAAAAAGGAAAAGAAAAGAAAAGAGAGAGAGAGAAGAGTAGGTGGGGGTTGGTCAGCGGGGAGTGGGGGTGTCAGGTCAGACACGCAAAAGGGGGACCGGCGGGGAAAAAGGAGAGGAGAGAGAATAGTCAAATCGTAATAATCACGATTCAGCGCCACGATTCGAATTCAAAAAAGATCTAACGATTCCCGAAAATCTTAATTAATAATTTAAGATTTGACCAAAGGGTATTAATAAAAACACACCACGAGAGAGGTTTACCAGTCCAAATTCGCACCCGGTAAAAAACTCACTTTCCACATATCCCGTGCAATATCGAGGTTGGCCACAATAATATCGACACCGTCCAATTAAATTCGTTCCGAAATTTCGAGAAATTCGACACCAAAGTTTGGGCTCTAAATAACGGCCAATTTCGATCGAATGCGATTATAGCGAAATCTCAATTTTAAAAACAATAACCAAGAGTGATCAGTTCCCGGGCGAGATTTTACTATAAACACATTGAGGAATTACACGTTTTATAAATCCCAAAAAATGGGTCGAAATTCGGAATGTCACACGGATAACCAACAAAAACGCACCGACGACTTCTACTAGCAAATTTATCTTTATCCCGATTCTGATTATGCGCATAGCACAAACAACCAAAAATCCGAAAATATTTGTAAGAAGGAGGTTGGCCAAAGATAATCTCATATGGGGTTTTACCATTCAATAATATAGATGGAGTCCTGTTAATCAAATACCCAACTGCGAGTACACATTCTCCCCAAAATTCTATGGGTAAATTTGCTTGGAAACGCAAAGCTCTTGCAACATTAAGGATATGGCGATGTTTTCTTTCCACTCAGCCATTTTGTTGAGGTGTTCCAACACAAGAAGTTTGATGCAATATCCCATGTTCATCAAAATATTCTTTCAAACACAAAAATTCACTTGCGTTATCACTTCTAACGATTTTCACATTTTTCTCAAATTGGCATTTAACCATCGCAATAAATTTCCTAAGAACACAGGCCACTTCATTTTTTCCATTCAGCAAATATATCCATACAGTACAAGAGTAATCATCAACAATTGTCAAGAAATAAATTGCTCCACATGAAGCTGGGACTCTATAAGGTCCCCACAAATCACAATGCATCAATTCAAAACAATCTTTAGCTTTATTGTCACTAGAAAAGAAGATCTCTCTTGTTTGTTTTGCTCTAAAACAAACCTCACAAGTTTTATTGGTTTTCCTAACCATTTTGCCAGCTTCTGGAATTAACTCCACCACCTTAGAAGAAGGATGACCTATTCTTTTATGCCAAAGCTCAAAGGATTCCATATCATCCACCTTGCAAGCATGTACCGAAGTCACTCCCTTGAGAAAGTAAAGCCCCTCGCGTTGCTCACCTGCTCCAATCAGGTTCCTCAAAATTAGGTCTTGTATAGCACATATTTTGTTAGTGAGTTGGATAACCAAATTTGAATCATTAAGAAGTTGTGATACAGAAATCATATTGCATTTCAAATTGGGCACAAAAAGAACTCGTCGCAATTTCAAGTCTCCTCCAGGCAACACAGTTCCTTCTTTCACTGCCATGGTCTTTTCTCCATCAGGTAATTCGACTGAGCATGGCATAATGTCACGCAATTCTCTCAAAAATGCCAACGTTCCTGTCATATGGTGGGAAGCTCCTGTGTCAATAATCCAAGGAAAAATACTCTGCTTATCTATCAACCTCTCATGGGCACCATTCTGATGAGAACTTAACATTCCCAGCAAAGTCGCCCACTGCTCATCATTCAATCCACTAAGACCCTTTCGATCTGAATCCGTCACAACTCCTCGCCCACCATCAACTCCAGTTGCTCTTCTTGGCTCGTAATGTGGTCCGCATAGCTCGCACCCATTCTTCATAATTCTCGCCCTTCAACTGAACTTGGGTAATCAGGTTACCCGGGTTGTCATTCGAATTCAGTGTGTAAGGACTAAAGGTTTTCTTGTCCGTTCCAGAACTCTCCTCACCTTTTTTTTCATCAGCCATGGCTCTGATACCATGTAAAAGAACTGAGGAATTTTGGAATGAGAATTCTCTTCTTCATTGCCACAGAAACGTAACATATCTACAAGAAGATACAGCTATCAAACAAACTCCTAATTAGGCTAAACTACTAAAAATACAAGGACCACACAATAAAAAGTAATAAAAGATATGCACACACAAAACTTCCTAAGTAAACGGCCTAAATAAATGCAGATCACAGCTGCCTTTCCAATACCCAATCAAAGAAAGAGGAAAGGAAGTTCATGTTCGTCCATTTTCAGCTCCTTGATTAATGCATGCACATGGTCATGTGCATGCATGCTGTGTGATTGGAGGAAAGAGGACAACGCCCACCTTGCATTACGTATGTTCACTTCTTGCCTTTTGTCTTCTTTGACAAAGGCCATGTGAACGAAGGAGCGCGGAAGTTGCTTGATTTGTCTTCGGGCAAATTCTATTCTTTGAAAAGTGCCCAATCAAAGAAAGAGGAAAGGAAGTTCATGTTCGTCCATTTTCAGCTCCTTGATTAATGCATGCACATGGTCATGTGCATGTATGCCGTGTGATTGGAGGAAAGAGGACAACGCCCACATTGCATTACGTATGTTCACTTCTTGCCTTTTGTCTTCTTTGACAAAGGCCATGTGAACGAAGGAGCGCGGAAGTTGCTTGATTTGTCTTCGGGCAAATTCTATTCTTTGAAAAGTGCCCAATCAAAGAAAGAGGAAAGGAAGTTCATGTTCGTCCATTTTCAGCTCCTTGATTAATGCATGCACATGGTCATGTGCATGCATGCCGTGTGATTGGAGGAAAGAGGACAACGCCCACCTTGCATTACGTATGTTCACTTCTTGCCTTTTGTCTTCTTTGACAAAGGCCATGTGAACGAAGGAGCGCGGAAGTTGCTTGATTTGTCTTCGGGCAAATTCTATTCTTTGAAAAGTGCCCAATCAAAGAAAGAGAAAAGGAAGTTCATGTTCGTCCATTTTCAGCTCCTTGATTAGATGTGCATGCATGTCGTGTGATTGGAGGAAAGAGGACAACGGCCCACCTTGCATTACGTATGTTCACTTCTTACCTTTTGTCTTCTTTGAAAAGGCCATGTGAACGAAGGAGTGCGGAAGTTGCTTGATTTGTCTTCGGGCAAATTCTATTATTATAAAAGGGAAGAGAGGGAACGAAGAGCGCCAATTTCTTGGTGGCCGAGAGAGAGAGAGAGAGAGAGAGAGAGAGAGAGAGAGAGAGAGAGAGAGAAAGAGTGAGTGAGTGAGTGAGTGAGAGTGAGTTTCATCTCAAATGGCTACTATTTGTCCAGTTGCTCTGCTCCATCAAGAAGCTAATACTTCTCTGCTCAAAATACGAAGTGCTAAGACTCTAGCTGAATCTTCCAAGCTCACTTCCATCCCCTCCCACTGCACCTTCACCAACTCCACTTCCGGTGATCAAGCCGTTCATCCTGACCACGATGACTCCATCCCCATCATCGACTTCTCTCTCCTCTCCTCAGGTGATCCCGATCAACGGTCTAAAGTCGTCTCGCATCTTGCAAAGGCTTGTCAAGACTGGGGCTTCTTCATGGTACTTATGTTCCTAGCTAGTTCATTAGTTCATTAGCTCCTTCATAGAACTTTTCTTTATTCTATTTGTTGCGAAGATGCAAAACAAACAGTTGGCGAATTTGGATCAGCTTTCGCTTATGAAACTTGTCATAAGTACTGAAAAGACTAGCAACAGTTTAAATTAAATTGGCTAGTTCAACCGATGATTGTTTATTCCCGCCAGAGCTAAAGAAAATTCATGAGAAATTATTTATCGTGCCCTTGACTCCGAGAGATTGGGCGCTGCAAGTAAATCAACCCCGAAACCTTGTTTTTTTTTTATGAATCTATTTTGCACAAATTGGTATCAAAGCTGGAGTCATTATTGATCAGTATGACACTCTCCATAAATGATTCGGCAGCGTCTTGTATGCTATGTATTGATCATGGCCCCCGGTTTATGTGGATAGGTGATCAACCATGGAGTCCCCGAGAGCCAAATGAAAGCGATGGTCAACATGCTGACAGGATTCTTCGATCTGACCGAGGAAGAGAAGATGGAGTTCAAAGGGAAGCACGTGTTGGACCCCATAAGATGCGGGACGAGCTTCAATGCTTCGGTCCACAAGGTGTTTTCCAGGAGAGATTTTCTGAGGGTGAGTGTGCATCCGAAGTTTCATTGCCCCACCAAACCAGAAGGCTTCAGGTATCCATTCTCTCTCTCTCTCTCTCTCTCTCTCTCTCTCTCTCTCTCTCTCTCTCTCTCTCTCTCTCTCTCTCTCTCTCCTGTATGAACAAGTTCTCACCTTTCAAACACCTTAACCTAACCCAATATATCAGGCCAACCAAATCCAAATCAAACTCTCTCTCTCTCTCTCTCTCTCTCTCTCTCTCTCTCTCTCTCTCTCTCTCTCTCTCTCTCTCTCTCTCTCTCTCTCTCTCTCTCTCTCTCTTTGCGTGCACTCGAAGATGGTACTCAGCAGATAATTGTTAGATATATCAGAAAAAGAAAGCATGATGAGGAACTTGAACAAAATTTTATTCCCTGGTAAGACGGGAATCCAAATCTTCAACTGGACTCCTTCCGGTATCTGTCCATACATGAAACTCTGTCCACTTCGGTGGCGCACTTGAATTCTAGAGTTACCTAAATTCGAGATGTCGTGATTTGGAAACCAAATTTTCCATTTCTACATGACGCAGCATACCACTCAATTGATCCTATTGGATCTGAACCGAAACAACTTCAATCTGTCAGATGCACAAGCTCTTCAGGATCTTGGGTTATGGTTTGTTAGTTTTGTAAAATAGCTCTGTATTTATCGAGAAATCTGGGAATCTTGAAACATAGCAACAGAAACTACACGATTCTTATGCTAGGTTTGCATTATTTTGGATCGTCTTGATGGCAAACAACAACAATTTTGTACACCTATAGAAAATCAACAAATCCAGGATTCAATTTGACAGAGCAGGACAATTAGCAACACACCAGATAAAAGATTGAGTGACACAAACTTGCGACATCCATAAAGATGAAAAGAACACCACCATGGCATTTCCTCTGATGAATGAAAGCAATGTTTGTTGTAGTGAAGTTTTAACAGAATACTCTGGGGCGGTCCGGAAATTAGCTAGAGGACTGCTCAAGGGTATTTCGGAAAGCCTAGGACTCGAACCGGGCTATATTGACAAGGCAATGAACATGGATTCAAGCCTACAGATATTAGCGGCGAATCTGTATCCGCCGTGCCTGCAGCCAGAACTCACTATGGGCGCGCCACCACATGCAGACCACGGCCTGTTGACCATCGTCCTGCAGAATGGAATTGGCGGCCTCCAAGTGCACCATGACGGGAAGTGGGTCGAAATAGATCCCATTCCGAACGCCTTTTTGGTCTACACCGGTGATCACCTAAAGGTACATGTAAAGAAATTCATGTTCCATCTTTCTAACCTCCCTCATTGTCTTGCAAGAGAGGTCCGATACATTTCAACATTCATACAGATAGTGTATGTCTTTATGGAGGGGACACTATTATTATACATAAGACCGTAGTTCATATAGTTGTCCTATAAATTTGCTGAAACAAACTCTTTTCACTTTGTTTCTTTCACTAGGTAATAATCAGTTAAAAAGTCGATACGGATCTTTGTGATTTACTACTTTTTTCCCATCGAACCAATAAAGCTTATTGCAACTAATTTTTTTTCTCGACACTAATCAACTGATCAAGATTCTGAGCAATGGGAAATACAAGAGTGTTCTACATCGAGCTGTCGTGAACGACAAGGCTACAAGGATATCGATCGCTCTGTCTAATGGACCATCGCCTGACACTGTCATCACGCCAGTGGAGCAGCTGGTGGATGGCAAGAACAACCGAGCCATGCACATCGGGATGAAATACAAGGACTTCCTGGAACTTCAACAGAGCATCGTACTCAATGGGAAATCGGGTCTGGATGGGGTTATAATACAGCCTGAATTGTCGGAACTTCAACATAGCAGTGTACTCTATGGGAAAAATCGAGCTTTCTAAATGGCATCCCCCAAAATTTGGAAGGACAAAAGGTGCAGTCTTTTGTATGTCCCTGTAACGTCTTGCAATTCTAGAGTAAGAGACGATTCTCAATACGAACGCCATGATCTTCTCATATTCATATATGATCAATATAAAAAAAATTGTAATTACAGATATATCAGCGAGGCTGTACGTCTGAAATAGTCATTTCGTTGGCCGAATATTTTGGTGCTTGCCACCGCTTGAAGAACTTGCTTCAGATACGGACTCCTCGCTGAAAAACACTGGGCTGTTTAGGATGAGGCAATGTGCTCTCACTGCCCAACATCATAACCACAGATGACATCTCCGGTCTTTCTCTCGAATTTTGTTGAACGCGCAGCAACGACACATGGATCGATCGCAAAACTTCCATGGGATTGAATGTGGATGTGATCGATGGATCAACCAACTCCATGGACTTTCGATCTCTGAACAGTGTCCGGGCCTGCATGATTAATTGATTATGTCAGTCATCTAGAGTAAGACTAAAAACTAACCTGAAGATAAATCAACAAAGAGATCTGATAAATTTTCCGACTTACATATCCAAGAAGGCTCAAATGGCCGTCAGGATGAGTGAAGCCTCGATTTCTTTTCCCGCTCACGATTTCCAGCACTAAAACGCCAAAACTGAATACATCTGATTTTATCGAATATAATCCGTGACCGCATACTCTGGTGACAAGTAACCGCTATGCAAAAAAGCCATTGAAAAGAATGATTAGTTTTTGAAGCAAATGGACCAGATCCAGTGAAGATCACTTGTTAAGAGAACTCACTATGTTCCCACCACTCTCTTCGTATTCGCTTCGCTCTCATTACCTCCGAAACTCCTCGCCAAACCAAAGTCCGATATCTTTGGATTCATTTCGTTGTCAAGCAGGATGTTTTCAGCTTTCAGGTCTCAATGAATTATTCTTAATCTTGAGTCTCGGTGAAGGTATAGGAGCCCCGAAGCTATGCCGTTGATGATAGTGAAGCGCTTAGGCCAATCCAGTGAAACACCCTTCTCTTGGTCTGCCAAATTATTGGCCTTATAAGTTATTAAAGGAAGCTTCTTCGGTCCTTTTCTATGACAAAAGCAATGAAAATGTAGAGATTGAGCGCAGCAAACCGAAAATGAAACAATCCAAGCTCCGGTTCGGCAAGAATTCATAGATCAACATCTTTTCATCTACTTGAATGCAGCATCCAAGAATCTTGACGAGGTTTCGGTGTTGAAGTTTGACGATGTAGACGACTTCATTCTTGAACTCGGCCTATTCCTGCCCTGAGTTTTCCGACAGCCTCTTCACAGCAATTTCTTGGCCACTCTTCAGAACACCCTAAAAGATAGAAATTTTTTGTTCCTTTTTTCCATTGTGCATTTGTATATGTATGAGCAGATTTAGAATTCCGAAAAATGAGAATAGTAACCTTATAGACAGCTCCAAAGCCTCCCTCTCCAAGTTTGTTGTCGTCAGAGAAGTTATTCGTTGCGCTCACTATGGTTGTGAGGTCGAACAGAGGTAAGTCTAGATCTTCACTACGGCTTTCATGGGAGAATCCAAAGATTTGTCCTGCAACTAGAAATTAAAGTGAGTGAATTCATCAAATAAAGAGAACTCATAATTGAGCTTTAAAAATCCCGAAACAGAATTCAAAGCAACACAAATTTGGTTCATTCATATTTTTCAGGCCACTTGGTTCATTCAAATTTCTAATGGGAGACGATCTGAGGAAACTTTGCATTTGATGCAGAGCAGCAACATTTAAAACCTATGCTAGCAAGAGTAAAAATTGACTCTTGTGGATCAAGAAAAACATCTTGCTTGGAAACGATATTATCTGATGACGACTTTAACATCTCTCCCATACCCTGTAAAAACAGCTGCAATGCCGAGAAGAAGCACCGCAGACAGCACAGTGCTGACAATGAAGCCATGCTTTTCCTCGCGCCATCATTTTTGCTCAAACTGCCACCTTGATACACATTACAACAAATTGAAGACAGAAGTTACTAACAATCCGACTGTCATTTCGAACTCATTCTCTTCCTCGTGTCATCACGTCAAAAATAACTTAGGGTTTGAACACGTGCCAACTTCTGATGTGCCCATCCTTACGTAAATGTCCTGGCCGTTCTCGTTGAACTGTCTAATATCCATCAGGTCACCGAACCAAAGCAAGCATCCACTTCCTTGCGCTCATATCCAAGTTTGAATAAGGAGTGTGAATTTGAAATTAATTGAACTCAATCAATGGGCAAAAATATCTTATTTTTTTAATAGTATAAGATATCCGGACTTTTGGATTCGCCTAATTTCATAAGCGCAAGCAAGCAAAGTGTCATGTCCACCTGCTTCGCGAGGGTGACATTTCATCCATGAGGTGGCGGCAGGGACCACCTTAAGATTATTTTACGTGAAAAGGGTCGGGATTAAACATAAGTGGCTATCTCAATATAAAGTCTAACTTGATCCAGAGCAATAAAAACAATAATGAGGACTCATCTTAGAATGACGCACGATTACCAAAATTAATCATAGGATTATAACATCCTAATATTTTTGTGTTCCATTTTCCACCATTAACATGTGGTCTCCTACGACTTAATCTGCGTTAATTTTTGGTCAAGCAACTTGCTTCTTGTTGCAAGAAGAAGAAGATAGGAAGTAGCAAGTCAGTAGTTGCTTGAACAGTTTCAAAACTATTTATGTCATTATCCAACTAAGACACCTAAATGGACCAAAATAAAATAATTTATCGTTCTATACCTAAGAATAACTTAATTTAAACCTTCTAGGTCTTACTATTCTCAGTTCTTACCTGAAAATTCAATAATTTAGTATAAAAGGGGTATGATTCGAGTTGCTAAAGCTATTACCAAATGGTCTTATAAGCTGATAAATAAATGAACTACTCCGATTGACTATAGTGTCGTTGAAGGAGAGAAGAGTTCAACAGATTCCACTCTTTGAAAAATCTACAAGATACCCAAAGATATGCTCACGAACCTTGAAAATAATTAAGACATAATATAAGTTGGATTGTTATAATGTCACACAGCAAGTGGAACCCGAACCCCAACGTCCACTGAACAGATTTTGAAAATTTCAACTAATTGATTAAAGAACGAATATTTAATTATGGTCAATGTGTTCATAATTTTTATAAATATGGGCAAATATTATTCGCATGATATTTCGGTTGAATAAAAAGAGGTTGTGACAAAGTTAATATAATCCATGACGATACTAGATATAGTAATAACAATAATTATGGTACAGTCGATTCTCCGGGATAATTAGCAAATCAGTCCTAAATCTATTGTACAGATACCAATTTAATCCTAATTTTTTCAATTTTACTAATAAATTCCTAAATCTTTGCGCAAAATTTCATTTGAGTCAATTCAACCAATTGCCGCTAGAAATCTCTGACGTTGCTATCCACATAGGATGTCCTTTCGAGTAAAATTGTCCATGTCAACGTGACAAGTAGGACGACCGATGATGACCGGATGCCGTGGTAGCAATATCCAACGGGCATTAGCTGGAAAGACTACATCCAAATTTCGTGTAAATATTTAGAACTAAATTAGTAAAACTGAAAAGTTTAAGATTGAATTGTAATATGTGCAATGAGTTTAGGAATAAATTGAAATCCGTGCAATAAATTTATGATTGAATTGATAGTTTTTCTTCCCCTCTTCCCTCCTCGTTCAAAACACTTTCCATCCAAACAGTCAGAGAGGAGAAGGAGAGAAACACCTAGTCTAGGACTCGTATGGTCTCATCTATATCGATCGATTCGACGACGGTGATTAGCTAAACCAGGTGCGTTTCGATTGAAAAATATATATTCTGAATTCTATATATGGGTTAGCACCTCTCAAGTCATTACTATCAATTGAAATATATGATTAATTGATCCCATCCGGTCGGAATGTCCGACATGGTCTATCATAGTAAGATATGACTCCAAGGACAAATTATACAGTAGACTATGACATGTAATACAGTACGTTAAAGCTCGAATGTGGATGCGGATTGAATTACAATCGTTCTGCTACAAACACCCAATTAAGTTATCAAGAATTTGAGGGTCGATTAATAAGAAATCATGCAGATTTTTAACTGTTCTCTTGAAGGATGGTACTCATACCAAAGCCAACTGAATATGAAACTACAGTGATAACGTCGACTCATGACCTAACTCGCTCTTCTGTACATAATGCATTGATTTTTGTCCTGGAAAATCAAATATGTTATGCATTGTTCAAGCTATTTTAAAGATGGTATATACATAAATAAAACTTTTGACCCATAAATTTATAGAAAATTGACGCTTTAATTTAGAAGCGATGGCTAAATATTTACTAAGACTCCCCTCAATGTAAAATACAATTTCTTTAAAATTAATTTTTTTTAAGAAACGGTGGATACATAGTTAACGATTTGTTATTTCCACTTGTTTAATGGGTGTCAACGGTTTGGGGTTTCACGATTCTCGAACCAACCCGAACATATTTGGCACATGTGCGTTCGCAATCTAAATTGTACAGTACTCGATCCAAGATGCAAAAGGTAACGATGAAGAAAACTTTCTCGGATGGCGCTCTCCGGAAAGAAGACAATGCATGGTTTAATGTGTTTTCGATTCGGTTCGGAACTATTCCTGCACCCATTTTTCTATCTATTACCCGAACCGGAAGGAACCCGATCAGAGGAGATCCGAAAATTTCGGTTCAAGTATTTTTGACACCCCTAGCTTTGACGGTCTACTTTTTATTTGAATAAACTTAGCGCAGAAAAAATATTAGAAAAAAGGAAAAATACCATCAGCCTCTGAAAAGCGGACATGTGTACACACAACACCAGCCAGAAATACTAAGAAACCTCTCTCGCCCTCTTTTCCCCTCTGTAAAATCTTCTGGAAAACCGAATCTCCTTTCCGCGAAAATGGTCCAATCCTCAAAGTCCTGCCAGCCGTGTCGTTTCGCTCGCCATCGAACCGAACAGCCCCCATGTCTGCCGGCGCTTTAACGGTGACCTCGCCGTCGTGGGGTCCGATTCCGGCCCCGCGGCCCGCCAACGGAGGCAGAGCGGCGGCGAGGTTGGCAGCTCCGAGGGCGGCCCTGGTCGAAGCGAGGCCTCGAGGTCCGCCCCAGGAGGTCAGGGACGGCGGCGGCGGCGGAGGGGGAGGCCGGGGCGGCGCAGTCGTGCCGGTGCTGAGAGTCGATCGAGCTGAGGACATCCAAGCCGAGGCTCGAGCCATGGCGCGCGCCGCCAATGCCACCGTTTACACTCCCGAGCTCCTCTCTCGCCGATACGGCCGTCGCCCTCTCAAGGTCTGTCTCTCTCTCTCTCTCTCCCGGTGATTAAGCTGTAATTTATGCTGTATATTACTTGCTTATTCGCGTATTGTGCGAGGTTACGTGCATGGATTTTTGAATTTCGCTGGAGAGATTGCAATCGGGGTTCATTTGGTTGATTAAGTGGAATTCAAATCTCGCTAGGTGGCGGGGAGAGCGCTGGAGATAGTGGTTGCTCTAGGTTCTTTCGCAATTAAGTTGTTGGTGGATCAAAGCAATGGACAGATTGATCAAAATAAGAGGAAGCGAGGTGCTGAGTTGAGAAGGATTTTCACAAGATTGGGGCCGACTTTTGTTAAGATAGGGCAGGGGCTGTCGACGAGGCCCGATCTCTGCCCTCCCGAGTACTTGGACGAGCTCTCTGAACTTCAGGTACTGCTTAATGTCTGGACATGTGCATCTATGTGCTCCGAGATTGCAGTTTAACGTAATACGTACATGTTACTATGGCACTGCCTGATTCCTTTTAAGAATTGATTGACCTGAATGCTAGTGCGTGCATGAGTTAATGCATTTATGTCAATCCAGATGCGAAGATTGCACTAGAATCAAGTGGGCATTTTTGTTTACGTTGTTCGCATTTTATTTTGTTGAGTTTGTACATCTCGAATCCCCGAATTGGAATTTCTACATCTCGTTCGTTTATACAATAATATTCAGGATTGATTGGTTGATGATTTCATCCCTAGCATTGCTCATTGCATAGAGAATAATACGAGACACACATCGGCCGAGCAATGTGACAAATGCTTATTGCACGCTTAAATAGGCTCACTAACTAAAATGACGACTAACGGAATGCCACACGAATTAATAAACCCATTCGCCGGATGAGTATCAGGTTCGCTAGATTTGCTTTGATCTAAAAGCATGGATCATAAGCAATTAGATTGCAAAAAGAAAATATATTCCGTTAGAATACGGATTGGGCCCATTCGGGTGCTGAAAAGAAAGACAGAAAATTTTTATAAACCTGAAAACTACTAAGGATGGGCCCGAGGAATCCGTGCCCCGCGGTAACTTCCCTTCGAATGGGGCAAATTTTTCCCGTGAAAAATGTCCCGCGGGGTATTTACTGTGGCACGGGGCAAGGCGGACTGACTCTTTTAATGACTATAGAATATGAATAAGTTTAAAGTAAAATGATTCATAAATTGTTATCAATATTTTAGCGATTACATTTTTTTGATATATAATAAATGGAAAAAAAAATGAATGAATGTCCGTAATGTAGATATAGGGCCTTGGGAACACTCGAATGCACCAACCACTTGTGTTCTGGTTTGCTGTAACCCTGACCTGTATTATAGTGCTTACGCTTTGTTAGAAATATATTGTCTGATTATGAGTATCTCCCGTATCATAATCTCGTTATTCTGATTATGAGAGATTATGATTAGAGAGATACTCAAAATCAGACAATATATTTCTAACACGTTTGATTTTCCTTTCGAAGATTTCTGTTTCCAGCGCGAGGGCTCGCTTTATACCATGTGAATCTCTTAACATCTTGCACCTTTAGGCAATGAATCTTCAATGGCTTGCTATTTCCTTGAAGTGGAATAGTCTTAGGAAAGTTTTACTGCTGGTGCAATTGTTTTTCCTCCATTGATGGAAGCAAAAGGTTTCTTTGTTCACATGTCTCTGTGTGAAAACAGAAATCCCTTTGAATTGGTTCACCATCATTTCACAGAGCTAAACAAAATGAAGAAGCTTTCTATCTGGCTAGACACTCGTAAATCTATGTGTCGTGGTCTCTCCTTTCATCACTTTTTGGGACAAACGGTAATCATCGAATTTGTTAAGCTAATTTGCATGGCAAATTGTGCGAGTTTAAGTACACTTGCTCAGACGTTTCCCTATGAACTTTTGCTGAAAATATACGAACAATGTAATTGCAATGTAATATCAGATCAGCAAAGTTAGTTTCAATATAAGATTGAATTGTGCCTGAGGAAGATTGGTCATTATTTTGAGTCTCGATCCAGGTAGCTTTCCTTGGAAATGCCTCTAGAGTAGACATGATCAATGAGCAGTTGGATTGGAGCCGAGCTGAACTATCCTTGTCAAGAATGCACACACGGTTCAAAGATTATTAATTTGCCAATACGAAATTGACCTGGCCGGAGTAGATCCACCCAAACTGGATAGGTTCAAAAAGAGAATTACTTGCTCAAGCTTGCCCATTTTGTTTCCCTTCAAAGTCGGTCGAGCCTAGCCAGGCCTAGGCAAGCCAAGCCGGCTGCCATGGTAACCTGTACTTCAGAGGCTTTCTGCCCTGATGATAATTACTTGGTTACAGTGGGGGGAAGTTAGAGTTGGTAAATGGGTCAAGAACCCATATATTAACCCATATTTAATGATTGTGGGTCATAAATGGTGGGAGTTGGTGTGCATGAAGAAAAGTGCCCAATCAAAGAAAGAGGAAAGGAAATTCATGTTCGTCCATCTTCAGCTCCTTGATTAATGCATGCACATGTTTGCACATGATGATTAATGCATGCACATGTTCATGTTCGTCCATTTTCAGCTCCTTGATTAATGCATGCACATGGTCATGTGCATGCATGCCGTGTGATTGGAGGAAAGAGGACAACGGCCCACCTTGCATTACGTATGTTCACTTCTTGCCTTTTGTCTTCTTTGACAAAGGCCATGTGAACGAAGGAGCGCCGAAGTTGCTTGATTTATCTTCGGGCAAGTTCTATTCTTATAAAAGGGAAGAGAGGGAACGAAGAGGGCCAAGTTCTTGGTGGCCGAGAGAGAGAGAGAGAGAGAGAGAGAGAGAGTTAGTTTCATCTCAAATGGCTACTGTTTGTCCAGTTGCTCCGCTCCACCAAGAAGCTAATACTTCTCTGCTCAAAATACGAAGTGCTAAGACTCTAGCTGAATCTTCCAAGCTCACTTCCATCCCCTCCCACTGCACCTTCACCAACTCCACTTCCGGTGATCAAGCCGTTCATCCTGACCACGATGACTCCATCCCCATCATCGACTTCTCTCTCCTCTCCTCAAGTGATCCCGATCAACGGTCTAAAGTCATCTCGAATCTTGCAAAGGCTTGTCAAGACTGGGGCTTCTTCATGGTACTTATGTTCCTAGCTGGTTCATTAGTTCATTAGCTGCTTCATAGAACTTTTCTTTATTCTATTTGTCGCGAAGATGCAAAACAAACAGTTGGCAAATTTGGATCAGCTTTCGCTTATGAAACTTGTCATGAGTACTGAAAAGACTAGCAACAGTTTAAATTAAATTGGCTAGTTCAAACGATGATTGTTTATTCTCGCCAGAGCTAAAGAAAATTCATGAGAAATTATTTATCATGCCCTTGACTCCGAGAGATTGGGCGTTGCAAGTAAATCAACTCCGAAACCTTGTTTTTTTTTTTTATGAATCTATTTTGCATAAATTGGTGTCAAAGCTGGAGTCATTATTGATCAGTATGACACACTCTCCATAAATGATTAGGCAGCGTCTTGTATGCTATGTATTGATTATAGCCCCCGGTTTATGTGGATAGGTGATCAACCATGGAGTTCCCGAGAGCCAAATGAAAGCAATGGTCAACATGCTGACAGGATTCTTCGATCTGACCGAGGAAGAGAAGATGGAGTTCAAAGGGAAGCACGTGTTGGACCCCATAAGATGCAGGACGAGCTTCAATGCTTCGGTCCACAAGGTGTTTTCCAGTAGAGATTTTCTAAGGGTGAGTGTGCATCCGAAGTTTCATTGCCCCACCAAACCAGAAGGCTTCAGGTATCCATTTTCTCTCTCTCTCTCTCTCTCTCTCTCTCTCTCTCTCTCTCTCTCTCTCTCTCTCTCTCTCTCTCTCTCCGTGCGCGCGAAGATGGTACTCAGCAGATAATTGTTAGATATATCAGAAAAAGAAAGCATGACGAGGAACTTGAACAAAATTTTATTCCCTGGTAAGACGGGAATCCAAATCTTCGACTGGACTGCTTCCAGTATCTGTCCATACATGAAATTCTGTCCACTTCGGTGGCGCACTTGAATTCTAGAGTTACCTAAATTCGAGATGTCGTGATTTGGAAACCAAATTTGCCATTTCTACATGACGCAGCATACCACTAAATTGATCCTATTGGATCTGAACCGAAACAACTTCAATCTGTCCGATGCGCAAGCTCTTCAGGATCTTGGGTTATGGTTTGTTAGTTTTGTAAAATAGCTCTGTATTTATCGAGAAATCTGGGAATCTTGAAACATAGCAACAGAAACCACACGATTCTTATGCTAGGTTTGCATTATTTTGGATCGTCTTGATGGCAAACAACAACAATTTTGTACACCTATAGAAAATCAACAAATCCAGGATTCAATTTGATAGAGCAGGACAATTAGCAACACACCAGATAAAAGATTGAGGGACACAAACTTGCGACATCCATAAAGATGAAAAGAACACCACCATGGCATTTCCTCTGATGAATGAAAGCAATGTTTGTTGCAGTGAAGTTTTAACAGAATACTCTGGGGCGGTCCGGAAATTAGCTAGAGGACTGCTCAAGGGTATTTCGGAAAGCCTAGGACTCGAACCGGGCTATATTGACAAGGCAATGAACATGGATTCAAGCCTACAGATATTAGCGGCGAATCTGTATCCGCCGTGCCCGCAGCCAGAACTCACTATGGGCGTGCCACCACATGCAGACCACGGCCTGTTGACCATCGTCCTGCAGAATGGAATTGGTGGCCTCCAAGTGCACCATGGCGGGAAGTGGGTCGAAATAGATCCCATTCCGAACGCCTTTTTGGTCAACACTGGTGATCACCTAAAGGTACATATAAAGAAATTCATGTTCCATCTTTCTAACCTCCCTCATTGTCTTGCAAGAGAGGTCCGATACGTTTCAACATTCATGCAGATAGTGTATGTCTTTATGGAGGGGACACTATTATTATACATAAGACCGTAGTTCATATAGTTGTCCTATAAATTTGCTGAAACAAACTCTTTTCACTTTCTTTCTTTCACTAGGTAATAATCAGTTAAAAAGTCGATACGGATCTTTGTGATTTACTACTTTTTTCCCATCGAACCAATAAAGCTTATTGCAACTAATTTTTTTTTCTTGACACTGATCAACTGATCAAGATTCTGAGCAATGGGAAATACAAGAGTGTTCTACATCGAGCTGTCGTGAACGACAAGGCTACAAGGATATCGATCGCTCTGTCTAATGGACCATCGCCCGACACTGTCATCACGCCAGTGGAGCAGCTAGTGGATGGCAAGAACAACCGAGCCGTGCACATCGGGATGAAATACAAGGACTTCCTGGAACTTCAACAGAGCATCGTACTCAATGGGAAATCGGGCCTGGATGGGGTTATAATGCAGCCTGAACTGTCGGAACTTCAACAGAGCAGGGTTCTCTATGGGAAATCTGGCCTGGAAGGGGTTTTAGTGCAGCCTAAACTGTTATACTAATGGATGTGCGATCATGTTCTGCTTCCAGACTGTTTGGACTCTTCAAATTGCAACCCTATGGAACGCTAATATTATGTGATTCCAGGTGCAAGAACCATATAGCACTGATGTATTTAAGCTGGTCCTTTCAGTGATGTATCTTCTTGACAGAATAAATGGAAGTAAGAACACCGTAAGATTGTAGTTCTATAAATCATGATGGTTGGTCAGTATGAGCTAGCAAATTTTTCTGTCTAGATTTTCATTGGAAATGAGCCCTTCGTTGGGCTAAAAATATCGGGCACTTGGCGCAAATAGAAGAACTTGCTTCTAGTATGATCTCCTCAACAAAAAAACTGACCTGTTTAGGCTGAGGAAATGCGCTATTGACCTCAAGCACAAAAACTACAAAGGCATCCGGGGCGAATGTTTAGGATGATTCTAAAGCATCGGTTTCTTCTGGTTTCCACTGTTTGGATTAAAGCGCCAGACTGATTATACTGATGTGAATTTACTAATGTGAATTTACTTCATTAAGGAATGACGCACGTATTCAAGTAAGGTATTGAAGGCGTTCTTTGTACAAAATCATAACAAACAAAGAGCTTGAAAATTTTCATGCTTTCGGGGTACGTATACACACTTTTCGCTTTCTGACTGGCATCCCCCAAAATTTGGAAGGACAAAAGGTGCCGTCTTTTGTATGTCCCTGTAACGTCTTGCAATTCTAGAGTAAGAGACGATCCTCAATACGAACGCCATGATCTTCTCATATTCATATATGATCAATATAAAAAAAAATTGTAATTACAGATATATCAGCGAGGCTGTACATCTGAAATAGTCATTTCGTTGGCCGAATATTTTTGGTGCTTGCCACCGCTTGAAGAACTTGCTTCAGATACGGACTCCTCGCTGAAAAAACTGGGCTGTTTAGGATGAGGCAATGTGCTCTCACTGCCCAACATCATAACCACGGATGACATCTCCAGTCTGTCTCTCGAATTTTGTTGAACGCACAGCAAAGACACACGGATCGATCGCAAAACTTCCACAGGGATTGAATGTGGATGTGATCGATGGATCAACCAGCTCCATAGACTTTCGATCTCCGAACAGTGTCCGAGCCTGCATGATCAATTGATTACGTCAGTTATCTAGAGTAAGACTAAAAACTAACCTGAAGATAAATAAACAAAGAGATCTGATAAATTTTCCGACTTACGTATCCAAGAAGGCTCAAATGGCTGTCAGGATGAGTGAAGCCCCGATTTCTTTTCCCGCTCACGATTTCCAGCACTAAAACGCCAAAACTGAACACATCTGATTTTATCGAATATAACCCGTGGACCGCATACTCTGGTGACAAGTAACCGCTATGCAAAAAAGCCATCGAAAAGAATGATTAGTTTTTGAAGCAAATGGACCAGATCCAGTGAAGATCACTTGTTAAGAGAACTCACTATGTTCGCACCGCTCTCTTCGTATTCGCTTCGCTCTCATTGCCTCCGAAACTCCTCGCCAAACCAAAGTCCGATATCTTTGGATTCATTTCGTTGTCAAGCAGGATGTTTTCAGCTTTCAGGTCTCGATGAATTATTCTTAATCTTGAGTCTCGGTGAAGGTATAGGAGCCCCGAAGCTATGCCGTTGATGATAGTGAAGCGCTTAGGCCAATCCAGTGAAACACCCTTCTCTTGGTCTGCCAAATTATTGGCCTTATAGGTTATTAAAGGAAGCTTCTTCAGCCCTTTTCTGTGACAAAAGCAATGAAAATGTAGAGACTTGAGCGAAGCAAACCGAAAATGAAACAATCCAAGCTCCAGTTGGGCAAGAATTCATAGATCAACATCTTTTCATCTACTTGAATGCAGCATCCAAGAATCTTGACGAGGTTTCGGTGTTGAAGTTTGACGATGTAGACGACCTCATTCTGGAACTCGGCCTGTCCCTGCCCTGAGTTTTCCGACAGCCTCTTCGCAGCAATTTCTTGGCCACTCTTCAGAACACCCTAAAAGATAGAAATTTTTTGTTCCTTTTTTCCATTGTGCATTTGTATATGTATGAGCAGATTTAGAATTCCGAAAAATGAGAATAGTAACCTTATAGACAGCTCCAAAGCCTCCCTCTCCAAGTTTGTTGTCGTCAGAGAAGTTATTCGTTGCGCTCACTATGGTTGTGAGGTCGAACAGAGGTAAGTCTAGATCTTCACTACGGCTTTCATGGGAGAATCCAAAGATTTGTCCTGCAACTAGAAATTAAAGTGAGTGAATTCATCAAATAAAGAGAACTCATAATTGAGCTTTAAAAATCCCAAAACAGAATTCAAAGCAACACACATTTGGTCGATTCATATTCTTCACGCCACTTGGTTCATTCAAATTTCTAAAGGGAGACGATCTGAGGAAACTTTGCATTTGATGCAGAGCAGCAACATTTAAAACCTATGCTAACAAGAGTAAAAATTGACTCTTGTGGATCAAGAAAAACATCTTGCTTGGAAACCATATTATCTGGTGACGACTTTAACATCTCTCCCATACTCTGTAAAAACAGCTGCAATGCCGAGAAGAAGCACCGCAGACAGCACAGTGCTGACAATGATGCCATGCTTTTCCTCGCGCCATCATTTTTGCTCAAACTGCCACCTTGATACACATTACAATAAATTGAAGACAGAAGTTACTAACAATCCGACTGTCATGTCGAACTCATTCTCTTCCTCGTGTCATCACGTCAAAAATAACTTAGGGTTTGAACACGTACCAACTTCTGATGTGCCCATCCTTACGTAAATGTCCTGGCCGTTCTCGTTGAACTGTCTAATATCCATCAGGTCACCGAACCAAAGCAAGCATCCACTTCCTTGCGCTCATATCCAAGTTTGAATGAGGAGTGTGAATTTGAAATTAATTGAACTCAATCAATGGGCAAAAATATCTTATTTTTTTAATAGTATAAGATATCCGGACTTTTGGATTCGCCTAATTTCATAAGTACAGGCAAGCAAAGCGTCATGTACACCTCATTCGCGAGGGTGACATTTCATCCATGAGGCGGCGGCAGGGGACACCTTAAGATTATTTTACGTGAAACGGGTCGGGATTAAACATAAGTGGCTATCTCAATATAAAGTCTAACTTGATCCAGAGCAATAAAAACAATAATGAGGACTCGTCTTAGAATGACACACGATTAGCAAAATTAATCATACGATTATAACATCCTAATATTTTTGTGTTCCATTTTCCACCATTAACGTGTGGTCTCTTACGACTTAATCTGCGTTAGTTTCTGGTCAAGCAACTTGCTTCTTGTTGCAAGAAGAAGAAGATAGGAAGTAGCAAGTCAGTAGTCGCTTGAACAGTTTCGAAACTATTTATGTCATTATCCAACTAAGACACCTAAATGGACCAAAATAAAATAATTTATCGTTCTATACCTAAGAATAACTTAATTTAAACCTTCAAGGTCTTACTATTCTTAGTTCTTACCTGAAAATTCAATAATTTAGTATAAAAGGGGTATGATTCGAGTTGCTAAAGCTATTACCAAATGGTCTTATAAGCTGATAAATAAATGAGCAACTCCGATTGACTATAGTGTCGTTAAAGGAGAGAAGAGTTCAACAGATTCCACTCTTTGAAAAATCTACAAGGTACCCAAAGATATGCTTACGAACCTTGAAAATAATTAAAACATAGTATAAGTTTTGATTGTTATAATGTCACACAGCAAGTGGAACCCGAAACCCAACGTCCAGTGAACAGATTTTGAAAATTTCAACTAATTGATTAAAGAACGAATATTTAATTATGGTCAATGTGTTCATAATTTTTATAAATATGGGAAAATATTATTCGCATGATATTTCGGTTTAATAAAAAGAGGTTGTGATTAACTTAATATAATCCATGACGATACTAGATATAGTAATAACAATAATTATGGTATAGTCCCTTCTCTGGGATAATTAGCAAATCAGTCCTAAATATATTGTACATATACCAATTAAATCCTAATTTTTTCAATTTTACTAATAAAGTCCTAAATCTTTGCCCAAAATTTCAATTGAGTCAATTCAGCCAATTGCCGCTAGAAATCTCTGACGTTGCTATACACATAGGATGTCCTTTCGAGTAAAATTGTCCATGTCAACGTGACAAGTAGGACGACCGATGATGACCGGATGCCGTGGTAGCAATATCCAACGGGCATTAGCTGGAAAGACTACATCCAAATTTCGTGTAAATATTTAGAACTAAATTGGCAAAACTGAAAAGTTTAAGATTGAATTATAATCTGTGCAATAAGTTTAGGAATGAATTGAAATCCGTGCAATAAGTTTATGATTGAATTGATAGTTTTTCTTCCCCTCTTCCCTCCTCATTCAAAACACTTTCCATCCAAAACAGTCAAAGAGAGGAGAAGGAGAGAAACACCTAGTCTAGGACTCGTATGGTGTTTTCTATATCGATCGATTCGACGACGGTGATTAGCTAAACCAGGTGTGTTTCGATTGAAAAATATATATTCTGAATTCTATATATGGGTTAGCACCTCTCAAGTCATTATTATCAATTGAAATATATGATTAATTGATCCCATCCGGTCGGAATGTCCGACATGGTCTATCGTAGTAAGATATGACTCCAAGGACAAATTATACAGTAGACTATGACATGTAATACAGTACGTTAAAGCTCGAATGTGGATACGGATTGAATTACAATCGTTATGCTACAAACACCCAATTAAGTTATCAAGAATTTGAGGGTCGATTAATAAGAAATCGTGCAGATTTTAACTGTTCTCTTGAAGGATGGTACTCATACCAAAGCCAACTGAATATGAAACTACAGTGATAACGTGGACTCATGACCTAACTCGCTTTTCTGTACATAATGCATTGATTTTTGTCCTGGAAAATCAAATATGTTATGCATTGTTCAAGCTATTTTAAAGATGGTATATACATAAATAAAACTTTTGACCCATAAATTTATAGAAAATTGACGCTTTAATTTAGAAGCATTGGCTAAATATTTACTAAGACTCATGTAATAAACAGCGAGACAATCCGCATGTCATTGATTGGTTGATGATTTCACCCCTAGCATTGCTCATTGCATAGAGAATAATATGAGACACACCATGACTCGGCTACTAAATTTATCAGCCGAGCAATGTGACAAATGCTTATTGCACGCTTAAATAGGGTCACTAACTAAAATGACGACTAACGGAATGCCA